AGAGAGAGAGAGAGAGAGAGAGAGAGAGAGAGAGAGCGCAAAGATGGAAACCAGTAGATATGAATAGATGATCATGTCAAGAAAGGGATTACTAGCATGGCCCATAGGTAGGTTGGTACACAGCTTGGCACATCTAGTGCTTGGAAGAGAGTGAGAGAGAGAGAGAGAGAGAGAGAGAGAGAGAGAGAGAGAGAGAGAGAGAGAGAGAGAGAGAGAGAGAGAGAGAGAGGGGGCAGCACAACTCGTGCCAGGGGTGTGGTTAGTCGAGAGATAGAAGTAGAAGTAGAAGTAGAAGAGGTGCAATTTGCGCCAACGACATGGCGGCGGTCGGAAGGCAAGCGTTAGTTCTCGGAGCACTGAAGGAGAGGGTGACTCTCTTAGAGGCGCGCATCGGCGAGGGAGACCCCGCGGACCTTCCGCGGGTGGCGAGCATGGAGGGCGGAGGGGAGGACGGATACGAGAACGAGGCAGGAAATGGAATAGGAGGAGAGAAGAACGTGAGGTTAACGACGAAGGGGGATGGTCAGGTGAAGGCAAAGGGGGAAGAAGATGTTCCTCCTGCACCTAGTCGACAATCGGAGACGATCGGCGAGAAGTGGAGACGACTTTCACGATCATTCTATTCTCGAGAGACGACTCCCGCGCGCGAGTTCCGCCAGCTGTCTTCTACTCTGGCGGCGCAATCTCCTCAATCTCCTTCTGCTTCTACTCCCTCTCCTCCCCCTCCTCCTGCTGCTTCCGCTCCTGTCCAACCGACGTCTCCTAGATTTACGCGAACGGTCTCTGCGCATGCTGCGCGGCCTTGGGCCTCTCGTAATAGTCCTCTTGCTACGGATCGCAGCGAGCGAAGTATGGTTCGCTCTCATAGTTCCCAGATGATGATGCCATCGTCAACATCGGCTAGGAGGGAGGTGGTCCTCGCTAGCGACGAGTGGCTATCTACCACCAAGAAGACGTACAGAGCTGTGCTTGAGCTTTATAATCGAGTACGGAAGCGAACTCCAACCGTGGTGGCGTCGGACTTAGAGGGACGGTTGCAGAGACTTGACGCTCTCCATCAAAAACAGCTCTTGGCTGTTGCCATGCTCGATGAGCGGTGTAATGTCCTTCTCAACTCTTACAATACGGCAATTAGGTCCATAGCTTGCAAGCTGCTTCAGTGGGACACGACTCTCTCGGCATGGGAGGAGTCGATTCAGAAAATGGCGCCGCCGAAAAAGGACGAAAGCGGATGACGTCAACGAAATTACTTTCTTCTTTTGTTTCTTCCGCTCTCTGTCTTTCTCTCGCTGACCGGCGGAGTGAGCGAGCGAGCGAGTGCGCGAGGACCGCGCACGGCGGAACGGGGCGGGGCGGGTTGGCGGGGTCGTGTGCAATTCGCTAACGTACCTGGGGGGGATATGAATGAGACATCCGTCGTTTCCCATTGAGAAAAGAGGAGGGCATCGCTGTTCTTGCTTCCACGTGGAGAGTATCACGAGGAGGGTGCAGACCAGATTGCTTGCTCCTGCCGCTGCCGTGCTCCTGTCACCTTTCTTCAACGCGCTGTTCTTTGCTTCCGGTTGCCGCCGCCTCCCCGACTCTTCCCAATTCCCGCGGGACACTCCATTCATTCTGCCCTTTTCTTCCGCCTACGTCACGTCGTAGCAGCATGGCTTGCTCGGTGGAAGATAAGGGGGGAAGCGGGGGTAGACTGGGAGGAGGCGGGCGGGGGCGGTTTATTACTACCACCCACCCACATCTCGTCTGACGATGTGGCCAGTGTAAAGTCCCCCATCTGGACGGGACTGACGGCGACAGGAGGGAGAACACCCGTAATGGAGGCACAGATGAATGTGAAGAAGAAGAAGACGTGGAGAGAGTGATGACCATGAGAGCTCAGGGCGCTCAGGGCTTACGTATCTCTGCCCTTGAGAGGAGTTTTGCGAGGTGCCCAAGGTACATGTCACCAAGATTTGGATGAAGATGACCAAGGTGAACTGTAAAACAGAGGTGACGTCGACGGCTCTCGCCTCTGTCAACCGATGTTTCCGACACACACACACACACACACACAGAGACAGAGAGAGAGAGACAGAGAGAGAGAGAGAGAGAGAGAGAGAGAGAGAGAGAGAGAGAGAGAAGAGGAGATGTGGGGGCTAATGGCATCGTTAATTGACGCTCAGAGAGAGAGAGAGAGGAGATGTGGGGTCTAATGGCATCGTCAATTGACGCTCTGAGCGCCACGTGTAAAAGATCTCCCATGATTTGTAAGGGCAACGACACGTGTAAGCATCTCATGTGTGCCGAACCGAATCAGCTCGAATCGAGTTGGCGTGATTTGGCGGGAGAAGCTGCGGGTGTTCTTGTCCCGAATTAGTGCCCCAGCATCACAATAAAGAGTATTGTCAAGGCAAGTTCTGCGGTCGCATTCAGTCATATTATTCCTGTAAGAACGGCCTTGTGTTCCAATCTGGAAGAAACCGGCAGGAGACGGAATTGGTCGGTAATGGAAGAGGGGACGTGTGTGGAAACCGCAAAGGAACGGAATCAGTCGGTAATGGGAAAAGAGGGTACGTGTGTGCAATGTACAGAGACATCGAGCACGCCGCCACCTACTGAGTGGAAAGCTGGGCGTCCGCATCTCGGACCCGACGGACATGGTTGAAACCAGACCAATAGGATTGCCTTGTGCATGACGGGATCAGTATCTGGGCGACGGGACTGGTCGCACGTGCTGACGTGGGATAAACGTAAGCGGGCGTGTTTCGCCGACATGCTCGGCGACGGGACTGGTCGCACGTGATGACGTGGGATAAACGTAAGCGGGCGTGTTTCGCCGACATGCTCGGCGCGCAATGACAGCGGCGAAGAATGTTCGTTACTCTCGGCACTCGCCTTGGCCTACAACGCCGGGCGTTGAAGGCGCAGCACCTGATGTCGTCTACAACGGTGTCCTTCTGCGCACATTTACGTCGATGCATTATGGAAGTTTTCTCGAGTCGTGGCATCTGACGGGTCTCGTTCATCGTTGTTGTAAATTTTTTCTGTGCGAGGCTCTCGAGAGGGGAGGTTTCGGGAAGGAGGGGGGGGAGAGGGTGGGGGGGGGGCAAGGGGGGGGGAAGAGAGAGAGAGGAAGGGTAAGGGAAACAAAGATGAAACGGAACACACAGGAGGGACGACGTCGCCGTGGGCAAGGGCTGTGATGGCTTCCGCAGAGGCGCACGCCGATCTGACATGATTTACCGTGAAAGGCGTTGCGTGCTTCAGCTGAGAGGCGCGGGCGGCAGTCGTCGTGGGACAAGATGGGGGTATTCGACGTGGAGCCACTGGGAAAAAGATGAGGGTAATCATGCGGTGTCGTCTAAATGGGTCGAAGCTGAAGCTGCGCGTTGGAATAAGGACACGTCACTTCATTTGCCGACGCGCTTCGTGATTGGCGACCAGACAGATGTGTCGACGCGCTTCGTGATTGGACCGGCTGTGTGGGAGAGCAAGGATGATACACGAATAGACCGAGAAACTGGTGTCTGTGCTTGATTGCATCTTCCACACGCAGCTGTAACCCTGTCCAAGGAGCGGGGACAGAGGAAGCGGTTTGGTCGTGGAAGTGATAGGTGTTGATGGATTGACGATTTAGTTGATTGGTTGGTTTTGATTGGTAGTTTGGTCGATTCGTTGATCGGTTTGTCGGTTGATGGTACTTAGTTCAACATCGATGATGAGATAGCGTGCCAATGCAAAGGAACTTGATGATTAACTTTTTTACCTCAAAGTTGTACTCGTGAACGATAGCTAGATTGCTGTGGTCCAGTGTTTATTTCGCCGTAATTCGGTTTGCTCGTATGATTCTCTCTACTGTCATCAATTTCTGTAGTGTCGTCAATGTTTGTAGTGTCATCAATCTCTGTAGTGTCATCAAGCTCCGTAGTGTCATTAATCTCTGTACCCGTGTTTATTTCGCCGTAATTCGGATTGCTCATCAATTTCTGTAGTGTCATCAATCTCTGTAGTGTCATCAAGCTCCGTAGTGTCATCAATCTCTGTACCCGTGTTTATTTCGCCGTAATTCGGTTTGCTCGTATGATTCTCTGTACTGTCATCAATCTCTGTAGTGTCATCAAAGGGGAGGTGTACGCTGCGCGGGTGTCATGCGGGATGACGAGAGCGTGAGGATCAGGAAAGGGGCAACGAGGCTGTTGTCGGCAAGGGGGGGCGGGGGGGCTCGTAGGTATGGAGAAGATTCGCGCGATCGGTCATCTCATTCTATAGGTCTGTATGGAAGGTGG